GTTAATGATTTATCTAAAGACTGAAGTTGAAAAAACAAGATTGGGGCCATTTACAGTGAGACTCACAGTTTTCTTTTGTAGATGATCAAATTTCAAGCAAGAGAATGAAGGGTGTGGTTTCCGAGCTTTTCACCCTCCCCCGCTGTAAAACCTCATTCGTGCCACAAACTGGCCAAAACTTCCTCTGATGAATCATCAGCACAAGGGTGTCATCGTATGATACAGACTGAAAAGCTCCCAAACTACCAACACCAGACAAAGGCATTTCCAAATGGTCCCATACTTGTAAATGGTGATTATGCACGCATGCTCTGGTGAAGGAGGACCTCAATGTGAAACAGATGTGTGGTAATGACACACACACACACACACACACACACACACACACAAAGGCTCTGGGACTGCCAGCGGGAGAATGTGTGTGTATGTGTATGCACACATAAATACGTACATGTCCACTGGTTGTATAACAATCAGCTCCAGTCAGCAGTGTCTAATGTCACATTCTTCTCTAAACCCCACTTCTTCACTGTCACAGACTGACACACTGATGGTGGCACTTAGTCTCAACACATAAAGGGACTTGTATCTCCCATTTCCTCTGACTTCAGGATACCATCAAAAAGTTACAGACTCACAAACACGCCCATGCACAAAGAATTTTCCACATATAAACACATGTATACAAAGAGAAAAGTGCAGCTGGGTGAAAATTGGAGAGAAGAAAAATTCTCTGTGTGACTCGTCAGACAGGAAACCCTTCTTTCCAACAATGCTAAAACAAACCAGATTCAGGTTTGGCACGAGAACATCCTCTTTTCCTGTTCTTCAGTTTGTGGTTCCTCTTTTTTCTCATTCCGTGATACACGATAGATTAAACCACACTGCGGCCCTGAAGTGAAACCTGGATCTGGGGTTGCTTTTGTTACATAATGGAAATACTGATTGAAATCATATGTTCAATTCTGTAGCGGAGTGAAAAAGGGGTTCTTTCTAACCAGTTACATTTGAAAAACACAGGTACCACATGGAGGTCATTCAGTCAAAATTATTTTTTTCTGTGCAGATCTTTGACAAAATATCGGAGAATGCTCGTTTTGTGCTCCAGATTGACAATGCCCGTCTGGCTGCCGACGACTTCAAAGTAAAGTAAGTTGTTTTATAGTCAATTTCAATGTAGTCTATGTTGTTTTATATGAATTACCAATCAAAGCTCACTCTGTACATCCTGTACAAACAGAGTTATAGCAGAAGTCCATACAGATTTTGTACAGTTCATGTGGTGTAGTATCCATAACATCTGGTAGAATGAGTTTTTTTGCAATAGCAGTTCTGCAACATTACACCACACAGTGCAGTGTGAACAACAGCTGGTTGTGCTTCTGATACAGTTTGTGTCTGCACACTCCCACAGGTTCGACAATGAGATGGCAATCCGCCAGTCTGTGGAGGCTGACATTGTTGGCCTGAAGAAAGTCATTGATGACACCAACATGAGTAGGATGAACATCGAGAGTGAGATTGAAGCTGTGAGGGAGGAGCTTGCCTTCCTGAAGAAGAACCATGAGAATGTGAGTTAATGTGATCTGCAGCACACTTGAGTAGAGTCAGAGGTCTTTAAACGACTTTGTTCATTTCTCTCTTTCTGCCCTCCCTGTCTGTCCTGTAGGAGGTGATGGAGATTAGGAATCAGATCTCCCATTCAGGCGTACAAGTGGACGTAGATGCTCCTAAAGGTCAAGACCTGTCCCAGTTAATGGAGGACGTGAGATCCAACTACGAGAAGATCGCTGTGAAGAATGCGGAGGACCTCAAACGATGGCACGAAAATCAGGTACTGTGGTGTTGAAAGAGCAATCATGCAATTTTATGAAATTCTGTATTTTGGCTAACTTATTTTCCTGTCCCTTTGTCAGATTTCAGATGTACAGGTGAAGGTATCACAGAACACAGAAGCGCTCCAGGGGGCCCAGATGGAGAAGAGTGACTTAGCCAGACAGTTACAGACCCTGGAAATTGAACTTGCATCCCAACAGAGCTTAGTAAGCATTTCTTAAAATACACTTACGACTACATATCACCCATCCCAATTGTTAAACATCTTTTGTGTCAACTTTCTCTTTTTTATCCTTTATTAGAAAGCCTCCCTAGAGGACACACTACGCAACACAGAGCAACGAAACAACATGGAAATGGAGAAGTACAATGCCCTTGTTATGCGTCTGGAAGAGGAGCTGACTAACTTGCGAGCAAACATCCAGCAACAGACCCAGGAGTATGATGCGCTCCTGAACATGAAGATGAAACTGGAGGCAGAGATTGAGACTTACAAGACACTGCTGGATGGTGGAGACTTCAAGTAAGAGTTAAAAGTGGGGGAGAAGAAAAAAAAACTGATCGAAGCAAAGTGGTGATGGTGGTGGAGGTGAATACTAAAGTCACTTGTTATTAATTTGCATGGTTACATATAACAACATCATAAAGTGAGGCAAATTGTCACATTACAAATTCAATATGAATCTTTTGAAAGCAAAATGTTTCTTTTTTGTTTGGCACAGGCTCCAGGATGCACTCGACGAGCTGGCGGCCATGAGCTAATTTGGAACAAAGGATCTGGCACCCCCCCAATGATGAAATCAAAGTGACCCACAAATATAAATAATGGAAAAAATGTCCTGCTGATTGAATCAACTGAAGCCATTTTTGAACCAAGACCACGTGCGGTGTAAAATCATGAATGATTTGTGTAACTCCGAATAAAGGCATTCTTCCACACCACAATGAAACATGCAGGGCTGTTTCAACAGCAACCGCTGCCTGCCACCAGTCAGTAAAATAAAAATGAAGAATAACACTCGTTGACCCACAGTCATGACTCTTGTGTATTGATACATAATGAAGGTTGTGCATTTCTTTATTAGTTGTTGTCATACTTAGTGCACATACTTGAAAAACAAAGTTTAAACAAGATGAGTAATAACATCTTTTAAGAGTCTTATTTTCAATACAAATTATAAAATGTTGTAGTAGTCTTTCATGAACACTTCCAGGATGCTTAAAGTTGCCTTGATTTATGTTCAATTGCAAGAAAACATGAGAACTTAAAAACAAGAATCACAGTCCTGAAATATTACAACCCTATTTGTCTGTTATATATTTTTTTAAATGTCCCATAAAAGTGGGCAATATTTTTTTCCACTAGGGATATATTTGCTGTTGCAGTTGCTGTGCAGTTACTGATTGTTCTCTTGTGTGACTGGATCCTGAACATGCAGGTGGCAGACATTGATTACTTTCTCAAATAGCAATCCTTTGTATATGAAGAGAAGGATGCTGTGTAGAAGGATAACTGAAAGGGAACAAAGAGACACAGATATTCCTGAGCAACAGTGTAGTAACAATATCAGAAATAAGTCTTTTTTTAATGCTGACTGATAAATTGTCTTTAAACATATATGAACTTGTGCCATGAAGGGCAAGAGGAGTATTGATGTCATCTGAGCAGTTACAGTGATTTTAAATTAAGGAGGTGTGATTGGTTGTAATTCATTTGACTTAAAGCTGAGTCATCTACTTATATGCTTCTGAAAAATTGAGCCATAATATTAAGATAAAAGTGGGCCTTAAATTGAGCCTGGAGGTACACCACATTTGATGGGTACAGATGATGTGGGGCACTTTCCGATTTGAACTGAAAATAACCTGTATCTTTGAAATGTGGCAAACCGTTTTTAATACTGTTAAACCAACTTCGACTTATACACGTTTAAGAAGAATATTTTGGTCAATATTGTCAAACGTTGTGGTGGGGTCAAGAAAAACTAAAATGGTGCACGTTCAAAGGTAAAGGAGACAGCAACATTTATTAAATCACTGTTAATCATGGCTATAATAACATATTTTACTGAAACCTCCTGAAAGAGTTGAGATGGTAAAATGTCTGATGAACAAGAGGTGGGATTCAAATGATGTCAGAGGCTTCAGAATAGGAAGCAGAGCTGGCAGCAGTGGCAGAAGTCATGATAGAGAAAAGTTATTTTGATCTGTGATCGTTATTATTCATCACCATGGAAAAATATTGTACTGTGGCCAGTTTTGCAGAGTTTTGGTAGACATTTTAATAATTTCTAAAAAAAATCAGTCTATTTGTACTGAGCTCTGCTGCATTTAAAGGTTCAGTGTGTAGAATTTAGCGACATCTAGTGGTGAAGTTTCATGTTGCAGCGGAATGCCCCTCATCTCATCCTCCCCCTCAAAACATAAAAAAGAGTAGCAGCCTTCAGTTGTCATAAAAAGGTTTTTAGTTGTCCAGTTTGGGCTACTGTAAAAAACACGGCAGCCTCCACAGGGAGGACCTGCTCCTGGGGTAAATATAAAGTATTTAAATATAAAGGACCCATTATAGGGTAAAGAAATCAACAATTTAGATGAAACACACTAGTGAAGACATCACAAGCATTACTTTATATTCAATTTCTGCCAATAGATCTCTTTTACCTAAATCTTACACACTGATCCTTTAAGAGCACAGGTAGACTTGTTAAGGCAGGGGGTAGCGGAAGTGTTAACCTTGGATGTTTTGAATTTTAGAGGTGCTCGATAGTTCATGATGTCAGAGCAGGATAGGTAAAGAAAGTGACTTACAGTATCAGAATATGAGGGAAGGACATTTAAATATGTTAAATGTGCCTGTTGCATAAGTTAATAAAAATAAGAGGGAGTCGGGTTGGGATGGACTGGTGGGATGAGAAAGGGGATTCAAAGAAGGGGGATTCAAATATAATCAAGAGATGGTAAAAGACACCGGCAATCGATAAATTCAGAGACAGGGAAGGCAGACGTAAAATACCAAACCTGAAGTATTGCTCCAAAAGTTTTTAGGTGAGATGAAAACATTGAGACATCAGAGAAGTAAAGGCACAACAGTGACAGACATGAAGTAAAGTTATGAAACAGCAGCCTCTGGGCAGATGTGGGTCAGTGAGCAAACAAGGGAGGAGACAGACAGGCTGCGCCGTTCACGATGCGCGCTCCCGATAATAAACCTCTGACGCCTTCATCCGGGAATTACTACGAACTCGCTCTCCAACATGGCGGCGTCAGGTGAGGTTTATGTGGGGGAACGATCTTGGTCGGCCGGGGACGATTTCAGCGGTTTACACGTCGATATATTTTAACACGTTAAGTTTCGAGGTTGTTAATACATCGCATTGTCGATCCGTGTCGGTGTCCCGCTCGTGCAAATAGGTTAGCTGGTTGTTTTGGGCCCGGTAAGGATAGTGGCTGCCGGAGGAAGGAGCGAGACGACTAGCACATTCCGAACATTTGAACCGACTCGTACTTGCTGTTCTCCCCGTGTGCTAATGTTACCGTGGTGCTAGCATTCGTTAGCATGTGATATCCGCTGTATTGTATGGTGTGTGGCACGTTATGAAGTGTTTGCTTGTGCGCGCAGAGCTGGCACATTGTATGTCCGTGGCAGAACTCGCCGTGGCGCTCATAGCGGATAGGCACCGGGCGCAGGCGCGGTTTGTGGAGGAGGGGTCGAGCCGAGCGGTCCGGGCTGCCCGAGGAGTCTCCCCACGTGTGCATGCCCGGCTCTCCTGGTATCGGTGTCGGGTGAAATGTGGCACCTGGGCCCGGTTTGGCTCGCCTCCTATGCACTTCCCATGGAAGCTCAACAACTCCGAGCCCTCCCTCCTTCCCGACCGGCCCAGTGTGGCCCCGCTGATGGCGCACTTGGAGCCTGGCGCTGCAACGTGCGCTACTAGGCCCTAAAACCTAGCTAGCTAAGCAAGGATACTCCCCCCGTCAGCAGTCCTTTGCTGACTAAGCCCGCATAAAGACAAAAGCGATCTGCGCAGACAGCAAGCAAACAACCAGTATGTTTAGCCTCACAGTTAAGCTAGCAGCCAATGTTGTGTAAGCAGCAACTCCCCAAAGTTAACGTTACGCAGGTTCCAGCATGCTAATGTTGCATGTTAGCGTAGCGCCAAGCAAGATGCTAAACAGTGTTTGTTTTCCGCTCATCAGCTCACAGCTAAGGCCGGGAAGTCAGGCCTGTGTTTAATGTAAGCAATGACTTAGCATTATGTTCTCAGGAACACTTTGTGCTGCTCCGTGTGTGTGTGCTAGTTTTTTAACGACGTGTATTAAATGTCCTGACAGATGGGATTTTCAGAATAAAGCTTACAGCCATCTTTTGTAGCTTACCCCCCTTTTTCTGCCTCAGATTAAAACGAACCTGTGTGTATGTTTGCGTGGCACCTGACAGGTTTGTCATTCAAACACACACCATGAGGAATGTTACGCGGTGATACATGTTTTAAAACTCATCAATACATCCTTAGTAGTTATAAGATCTCACGACCTCTCTCCAGAAGATGAACAGAGATGAGCCTTCTCTGAGCTCCTGCATGCTGTCAGTTAGATGTGCAGACCACTCCTTGTGTGTTGTGCTTTCCAGTAGAAAAATAAGTCTGCGTTTTTCTTATCACACACACTGCAGTCCCCTTATCTGGCTTGGCTGGACTACATCTTGTTTGTTTGCTGTTTCTTGTAGAGATGCTGCTGTCAACAACAGTGGACACACACAAATCTTTTTAAACTAAGATAAGACTGTTTTTGTGTTGCTGTTGTGGAACATTTCACAGCATTGTCTTTATTTTCCTATTTAATTTTTAAATAACTAATAATTGTTCAACACGGCATCTAATACAAGCCAGTGAAGCAATCTTTTTTGAACCTATAATATTTACTTCATGCCTCAAGTAACACCTGCAGCTATTCTCAATCTCATTGTATTAATTGTATCCTATGGAAATAAAAGTCATCAAAAATCCATGTGTGCAATTATTCCATGACATGGCATGTTTCGTTCATCAGAATTATCATGGTTGACTGTGATCTGTTTGCTCATTCCCTCTTAGCTAAGAAGAAGAATAAGAAGGGGAAGACCCTCACTCTGACCGACTTCCTGGCAGAGGACGGCGGAGGCAGTGGCAACCCTGCGCCGCCCAGCTACCCGGCCAAGTCAACTAGCTGGGCTGATGAGACTGACGACCTGGAAGGAGATGGTGAGTATACAGTGAAATTCTCATGCTGGTTTTGCCATCAATCTATTTATTTTAACATTTGACTGAATGTAAAAAAAAAAAAAAACCCATCTGATCGCCCTAAGGCATAGAGCAGTAAAAAAAATGTCAGGTCGTCTAAAGCTGCATGTAGTGCAGATGGCTGAACACCAACATTTAAGTTTAGATGACAACACATCAGAGTCTCTGCTTATATAATTACCTGAAATACATGTTGACACATACATTGTCAAATTTATGACAAGTGATGTCATAAAGTGATGATGTCACTGTTAAACTGTCCCACCTGCTGCCCGTTTTCTTTTTCACTGTTTCACTTGAGTCTAACTATTTCTCTGTCGGAGTGGGTAATGATGTTGGACATTTGAGCTCTATATGTTAACTGAAAATCACCACAGTTTTTTTTAAAGAATTCACTAACATGTTTATCAATCTCATACTAGGTGATTTTTTTGTTTGTTTTCTGGAGTTTCTTGTGACTTGCTTGCATCTTACAATGTTTTATTCGTATTTCTCACATATTTAAGACGGAGTGATTTATCGAGAAAACTATTAAACGATTAATTGATAATGAAAATAATTGCTGGTTGTGCCCTGTGTGACATTGGTATGTGTTTGAAATGTTATCTCTACAGTCTCGACTTCGTGGCACACAGAGGAGGACTCGTACCGGGCACCAGCAATTGACCGCTCCATCCTGCCCACAGCACCTCGCTCAGCCCGTGAACCCAACGTCGACCGGTCTCGACTGCCCCGCAGCCCGCCGTACACAGCCTTCCTGGGCAACCTGCCCTATGAAGTCACCGAAGAGTCGATCAAAGATTTCTTCCGCGGCTTGGCAGTAGGTGTAACACGCACATGCAGTGTGCAGGATAAAACAGATAGCACTTGGTGGTAACAGTTACTGCTTCTTTGTTTTGCAAAGCAGCACAGCAAGGAAAACACAAGAGACGGTTTCAATTAGTCTCTATTGCTCCATATAACACCTGTAACCTGAAATTAAAAGAACATCTAGTCTCATCAATTACTAGTTTCCTTATATAGTCAGGAATGTTGAAGAAAAGATAACAGAGCCTCCAAAGGCCAAGCTGGTCAGTGTCCTTTTTCAGCAGTAGCAAAAAAAAGTCTCGAGTGGCCATAAAACATCCAGTTTTTAGTTAAAATATCACTTGGATTACTTCTGTGTCGTCTGCAGATGGCTCATCATAGCTCTGTAGGACATATTGCTTAAAATGGTTGCAACCAAACCTGAACATTTCTTATCTATGGTAATGACAGAAATTAAAGAAAGGACTATGGAATGTCCTCCATCCCCAAGTCAGCCCATTTCTTCCTGATTTTGTATCTGCATAGTGCTCTTACGATATCCTGGATTTATAAGAGTGAAGTCCAGATCAGCACATTGTCTGTTTTTTATTCTGTCTCTGTCTTAATCTTCAGATCAGTGCAGTGCGTCTGCCTCGAGAGCCCAGTAACCCAGAGAGGCTGAAGGGCTTTGGTTATGCTGAATTTGATGATGTGGATTCCCTCTTAAGGGCCCTCAGTCTCAATGAGGAGGTGAGATGATGCAGCAAAAACTGTTTCAAATCTCTGCATTTAGATATTTACACCCAGAACCATTACTATTGTATGTCTGTACAAGTTTTGCCATAATTGAATGACACAATAAAATCTTAGACTAGTATTTTTGAGCTGTATTGCATTACGATCGTATAGTTTTATCATTTATGCTTTAATTTTTAGATGACAGTCAGTTTCCTTTTTTTCATGAAAGTGTAATCAGAGAGTCACAATTTGTTCCCTCTATCTGTTCAACAGAATTTAGGGAACCGAAGGATTCGCGTGGATATTGCAGACCAGTCAAATGATAAAGGTACATGCTAACTTATATTTTTGTGTATTTTTTCTGTCCTTTTGGTGCTGCAAGGCTCCTCTTTGTCTTTGGAGTAATTGAGCAAATAGAAGTACACCCTTCTACCTTCATATTGTATTATTAAAGTTGATGTCACCTTTTCACACTTCAGAAAGAGACAGTGGACTTATGGGAGGCCGAGACAGGGGTGGACGGATGGCGGACATGGGTCCTGATAAGACGGACAGTGACTGGAGGGCTCGGCCCAGTTCAGATGATGATGGACCTCCCAAGAGAGATGATGCCTTTGGAGAGAGTGAGTCAGAAATGTTTTTGTTTGTAGTGTAGTTTTGGATAGAAGGGACTTAGTCAAGTACTTATATTTATACCCTACTATATATNAGCTGTAATATCAAAATCAGCTGTAATATCAAAATCATTCTGTAATGGAAAACTTGCATATGACATTAGTTTGAACTCTTTCCTATGTCTGATCATTGCTCGTGTGCTGTGTTCGACAATAACTCATATAGAAACACAATTGTGCTTGCATAAGAGGAACTGCTTGGCAAACGTGCAGACGGACGATTTGAAACAACACACTAATCTTTGCAGTAGCAAACTTCTTTCGTTCATGCAGAAGTAAGAGCAGTTAGCTTCCTGTGTTAACCAGACTAAAGGTGGCTTCCGTTTTTCATTTGCCATTACTCAGAAACAGTTATCTCTTATGTTTCCTGTTTACCTGACTGTATAAAACCTTCTTCTTTCCCTATTTGAAGGTGTTCCACTCTGAGCATTCATGCTGAGTGTGAAACCCTCTGCAGAGCTCTATTAAAGACCCAAAGATAACTCCGGTCTGAAAAAAACTCTTTATTTCACATCTCGAGATACATTTCCACCACAATTCTTTTCGAATCAATTATATTTTTATGCTTTATATGGCAAACAAAGCAATTTCTGCAAAGGCAGGTTGTCACAGGAACAAAACATCATAACATCCCACCAGTTAAATATTACACTGGGTAACCAGATGCTTCTGCATTTAATACTGTTATGCAAATGAACTGTGCTTGGCTTCTTTAATATACTGATACCCCAACATTTTCAGTAAACACACACTGTGTGTTCTAATTTGTAATTTTATACAATTAAAATCAAACAAAAAGTATGAATGTCAACATCTCAGAAAATATGCAATGCCTAACTTACGATTTGAGGTTGACACCACATCCATCACCCAAACTGAGCTGTTTAGAGCGACTTATAGTAAATTCAACATGTATGAGGGGCCATTCGAGGGTTCAGTGCCTGGATAGTTCTGCTAATTAACTGTTAACATGTGTTTGTTAGAGGACAACACTGAAATTAGCTGGTTTCAATAAAGTTGACAGTGATGTTATCTTCAAACAGAAAATCAGAACAGAAGCAAAGAAAGAGCTTTAAGCCATTCTCATCTAGTTCTCTGACATACCTCATATCGGTCTCCAACTCTCAATAACAAACATGACAAGAAAATGAACTAAAACATCATCATAGAACTTCTCCAGTTAATGACTTATACATTAGGACAGTATTTTCCCCTGAAATGTTGTTTACATATGCAGATTAGCTTGTTTGGTGAATTTAGGAGAAATCTACTGACACAAAGGGTAAAACATCACCATCAAAATGTGTATATTTGTATTTTCTTTCCATTAGAGCGAAAAAAGACATGGAAGCATGGAACCAACTTTGTAGCTTTAAGAGTAGGCTTATTTTTTTTATGGTGAGAACAGCTGTTTTCAGTTTTGTCTGGAGATTTTTGTTGATTTTGAAGTGTTGCTTATTTAAATGCCACCAAAAGAATTCAAAGGATTTATTGCCATGTGAAAAATAAACATGATTAGTACAAGTTTTGAAAATTCTTACTAGTTATTTTAAATATAGAAACCAGCAGTAGAGTTAACATGCTCATGGTGGTATAGTTTCCTTGTTGGTGTTGCCTGATAAACCAAGTGAATACTAAATAAGTCCATTGTCTCTGTGTGAACTGTTTTTAACAACTGTGTGAGTGTGAGGGTGAGTCAGAGAAAATGTCCTGAATGAAGGTGGCCTGGTCAAATGATCCAAGGTTGCGTGGTGCTTTCTCAAGGATTTCCTTCATGGTTTTGATATGTACGACAAGAAAGATTCTTTGATACTGTTGACGGTGACACCATACAGGGTTTCCTCCAAGAGTGGAAGTGGAAAGTGCATGCGGAAACATCCACTGCTAGCCTCCCTATGACAAATGCTTTTCCAATGGCTTGCTCTCTGTACCCACATCTCCTCTTTTCCCCATTTTTCACTGGTCACCACAACTGCTCAACCGGTTGCCCACACTGAATCTGGTTCTGTTGTCTGAGGTTTCTCCCAGTTAATGAGGGAGTTTCTTCTCTCCACACTCAAAGTGCTGCTCATTATTGGAACTGTCGGGTTTCTCTGTTTTGTTAGATCTTGACTTCACTATGTAAAGTACCTTGAGATAATGTATGTTATGATTTGGTGCTATAAATATATACTGTACTAATATTCTTATATACTGTCTAACAATAACATTACCATCATATCATTATTACTATTATCATCATATTGCCACTGCACTACTTGTCTGCCTATTCATCTTGTGTTTCTGTTTTTGTTCTTTTTACCTAAATGTTTTGTTTTGTTTTGTTCTATTGCATTGTGTTTTGTTGTGTTCCGATACACAAGCTGCTATGACACCTTAATTTCCCTCCGGGGATGAATAAAGTACTCTATCTATCTATCTATCTATCTTATCAGTCAATTCCAGTCTAACCAGGTTGTAGATATATAACCAGAAGCCATTGAGTCATTGGCAGAGGATATGTGATCCAACTTTATCATCCATTAAAACTTTTTGCAGGATCACGGGACCGCTACGAGTCGGATCGTTTCAGAGATGGACCACGGCGGGACGGTGATCGTTATGAAGGAGGAAGAGACCGCTACCGTGATCGCTATGACGACAGGGACCGCAGAGACTACGACAGAGGAGGTGAGTAATAGTGCATTTCTTTGGCTGCTCTGTCTTTTTTTTAAAGAAATATATAAACTATGTACATTTTTTACATTCCCACTCTAATGGAATAATTGATTTCCATGACCTCTGGATTGTTTAGCTGCAATCTTAATCAGGCTTTTGGCAGCATTTCCTGTTCTCATCATCTTTTTAAGTTCCTATTTTCATTTACCTTTTTTCCCTTGTGTCCCTGCCATCCTGTCAGGTTTCGACTCTCGTGGTGGTGGTGGTGGTGGTGGAGGAGGTGGTCGTCGTGCCTTTGGCAGTGGCTTCCGCCGTGACTATGATGACAGTCGGGGTAGCGGTGATCGTTATGGGGACAGGGATCGTTATGGTGACCGTGATGACAAGTATGAAAGACGGGATGAGAGGCGTGAAGACAGAGGTGGTAAGACTTCACTGTTGGTGTTTGCATTAGTATTATAGTTGTCCCAAATCCAATCAATATATTGATCTTGAAAATAAAAACTATAATAATGATTATCATCCTGTGCTGTGCTCACTCAAGCTCCTCAGCAGAGACCCAAGCTGAACCTTAAGCCCCGCAGCGTGCCCAAGGAGGAGGAAGCTGGTGGCGGCGGTGGTGGTGGCGGCGGCGGTGGTGGAGGAGGAGGCAGCATTGGTGGTGGCGGCGGCGGCGGTACTTCCCCCGCTGCTGCTCCAAGCTCCAGCAGCAGGGCCTCATCCATCTTTGGCGCAGCCAAGCCTGTTGACACAGCAGCCAAGGAAAGAGAGGTAGAAGAGAGGCTGAAGAAGGAGGAAGAAAGACTGCAGAGGCAGCTGGAGGAGGACAAAGGCCGTGGACCTGACAGAAAGTTGCGAGACAGGTCAGGGACTGATATGGATGGTCATCACGTAATTTTAGCAATTTATTTTGTCAAAATACATACAAACAAAAATTTATTTTTTTCATTTTCAGAGACCCAAGCTGGCGCAATGAGGAATCTCATACTGAGCGATCTCGCACAGGAAGTGAGTCTTCACAGCCAGGAAGCACTTCCGGAAGGGGTAAGACACCTTTGAATTTCATTTATATTTAACTCGAAATCTATATTATACTTGTAAACCAGAAGAGACTGTGTGTCCTGTCCTCAACATTCAACTTTTAGTCAATCCAGGACTTAAAATTAAGTCCTTTTTTTTTTCTATTGTCAGCGTCTCGGTGTGGAGATAGTGATCGCTCTGGCGACAATGAGGTTTTTAGCGGGAGAGAAGGTGAACCCTCCTCCCCTGGGCCATCCTCACGCCCCCCCTCTACCAGCTCCTCCAAGGAGCCACTGAAGGTGATGCCTGCACCTCCTCCCAAGGAGAATGCCTGGGCTAAGAGAGGTGTCGTCAACACAGGCTCTAGTGAGGGTGAAGGACGACCTCCAGTCTCTCCTGTCTCCCCAAGTGGTTCACTTCCTCCCAAGCTCAGGTGAGAATAAAGTTGGGAACAGAAACTATTATTTCAAAAACGATAAAGTCTGTCACAGGTTATTGGTGTCTTTATTCCTTTTCCTCATTGTCCTCACTTTCTTTTTTTATAGCTCCTCAAGTTCTGCGGATGAAAGAGAATCTGGAAAGGGTAAGGACGACTGATGAGTGCTAGGCAAAGTGGAATTTCACCCTAACCAAACCCCACATTAAGCTTGAATGCAATTGAACAACCAAGAGACAGTGCAACTATAAAAGGACTCAACAAAAACACAGGAAGCTGAGGAAGGAAGATATTTCTGTAAACACAAACACTTGCATACATCTGCAAAGCTATGAGATAATGGCGACTTTGAATTTGATCAACTCAATAAGTCAGCCTGCGATACTGTAAAGGGGCATCACACAACATTGCTGTTTTTTTTATTCTTACCACTAACTAAGCAAAACAATTTATCACCAGTGGAAAAGCCATGTTATGTTTATCACAACAGTATATTCTCTGTATGGTGGCCTTTTTAGGACATCTCAGACTCTTCGCATTAGCCTCGGCAGTTCTTTGAGCTAAAAAGCTCATGACGGCATGCATGTCCACAGCTGTTGATGTTTTCATGCTAACAATGTGTAGTATGGTGACATTGTAATGTGAGCATATTAAACATCCGATTTTAAGAGCTGATGGGAATTCAATCATTGATTTTAGTGACGTTCTGTCATGAAGTGTTGGATGAGTGGAAATGTTTGACCTTTTATTTGGCACAGTGACAAATGACACAGCAGCCCATACAATCGTTTTTGAGATATTAAACAAATGTTTTGGCATGCGCACCAACTGGCACCGCTATGTCTACAGCACCACCGCTAACCCAAAACGCTCTCTACTCAACCTGTGTAGATTGTATCTGAAAGTGTAATTTTTTTTAAACATCTGACTGCCCATATATAAAATTGCATTTGGGACTGTTGTCCACAATCTACGCAGTGTCCTTGTTTCTTTTCCTTGATGATTGTGGACTTTGCTCCAGTGGAGTGCGGCTGCACCAGATTGAATTTTCTCTCATAAGAACCTTTTCTCACTCACACTTCTTTTCATGATCATTCACCCTGAAATGTAGAAATGAAGGTGGTTTAAAACTCCTGTGGTCCGGAGGAGGTGACAGGAATCTATAATTTGTGAAGTTGAATATTTAGCATCCTATTATACATTTTGAGAGACACTATTATTCGAAAGAATTTCTGTGTTTTTTCACAAAGTCAAGCTCCTTCACATGAGGTGTAAGAGCAGCTGTTATAATTACCTTTCACACTGTGAAGTAACTGTCATAATGAATATATTGAGTAAAGAGAAGGTCACGGGATCATCTTCCAGCTCTAAAATATGTCGATCATTTGTGTTAAAATGGAAATAATCAGAAGTGATGAGTATGGTACAAAATATGGACCATATGCAAATCTACCATGATTCTGACTTAGAAATAAAAGATTTTCAGAATTAATCAGAAGGTCCATTATCTGCATTGCTGTGTCAGAACTGGCCTTACTTTTACTAATTGTTTGGAAATCTCTGGTATAACGTGAGACAGTATCAAATTTATGAGACGTGTCTTCTGTTGCACAGACTCCACTTGCATTCAAGCAGTGGTGCACCTCTCATTTAGCCTGACATCAGTGACTAACAACTTTTAAATCCAACCCAGTGGCTTCTGACGCTGCAGTGTGTTGTGAGTGTAGTCGACTGTATCAAGTCCAACAACCTCCCTTTACTTAACTGTCTGGCTTCTCCTTTAAGATGAGAACAAGGCTGACGGTGTGCGTCGGGACCGGGGGCCCCCGCGGGCACGAGGGGGGCCTGCAGGGCCTGGAGCAGGGCGGGGCCGAGGAGAGGGGCCAAACAGAGACCGAAGAAAGGAGGCAGACAGGTCAGCCATCCAAAGCTTGGCAACTCCAGATCACTGAAGGCAGGGAGGACATTCACTGGTCATCTGTAAAGAGTGGCCTATGCTCAGTTCTGTAACTGCTGATGCATGAATTGTTCCTGGTGTTGTGGTCATTAGGGAAACAAGGACATCAGTTTCATGTTTAATCATTTCCCTTTTTACACCAAATAGTTACAATCCCAAAGGTGTAGTGCAGGAGCATTAACATTTCTGAGTTTTGCCCTCATGATAATGTTCAGAACATGAAAATAAGCTCTTTGTCTTTTTAACTGTGTTGGTTTGAGGATTCTTGGAAAGCATGAACTTTCCAGTGTCTGGCCAATCCAATACGTTTTAACGTTAGTGTTCGTTCTGATTGTAGAAAGGATAACAGAAGAGACTCCAGACCACCTCCAGAGCCAAAGAAATACGGAGAAACCCCAACCCCCGTAAGTCCTTAACTGAGTGGCAGCAAAATCTGGTTGAAACGTTTTTCCCTGCCAGTTTAGTGTCTCCATGATGCTTTGTGTTTCTCCCTTTTACACATTGTAGTTTTTAGAAAACATCCTTTTGTAAACTGGATAAGCCCACCCTCTAAATCGTTTACCTTAACGTAGAGTCGAGACGATTTATCAGTTGGTCAATAAAAATCAGCAAAGATGAGCCTTTCACAGTCACTTCAGTATCTGCTTTTGTTTTTGCTGATTTGAAAACTTCATGAAAACTTTAATTTTACAGAATACACTGCAGAAAAGATGTGTATTTATGTTTACATCTTATTTAAAGGTTCAGAGTGTAGAATTTAGTGACTTCTAGTGGTGAAGTTGCATGTTGCGGCTGAATACCCCTTACCTCACCCTCATCTTCCAAACATGAACGAGAACCTGTGGTAGCCTTCAGACACAAAAGGTTTTTAGTTTGTCCAGTTTAGACTACTGTAAAAAACCTGGCGGCCTCCATAGAGAGGTCCTGCTCCCGATGTTGATATATAAATAACCCATTGTATGTTAGAGAAACAACAATTCAGATGATTGCACACTAGTGAAAACATCGCTAGGATTATTTCTTATTGAATTTCTGCCAACGGATCCCTTTAATCTAAATCTTACACACTGAACCTTTAACAAACGCTTTTAATTCAAGGTCTGTATATTTGTGGGGGTTTTTTTTATTTATGGTGATTTTTAATAACATTTATAGTTGCACTGTAAAATATCAACCCTTTTTCATAAGGATTTGATAATGACAAAAATAATTGTATTTATAAATTTGCCAAATTTATTTACACCCTAATATCGTTATATGCAGTGGTCCCGAAAAATCAACAGCGTCGGACGCTACCGCAATGTTTTTCATGCTTCTCAAGAACAGAACGTTGTCTGTATTTGCCACATTTGTTCAACATACTGTACTGATCCAGGTTCTATGTTTATTGTTTTTTTTTCTTTCAGAAATTCAGCTCAGCCAGTAAGTACGCTGCTTTGCTAATGGACGGAGACGATGTCGAGGATGTTGAATAGATGGCGTCAACGACGACGCGGCCCAAAAGAGCAAGAAAGAAGAGAAACCGATGAATGCAGAACAAAATTAATCTCACATAGTTTATGAAAAAAATCTCCTGGGAAGACCTCACTTCCTCCACCCTTCCTTCCTTTCCTCCTACAAACCTGTCCTCTGCTTTGAAACCTCCCCCCTCGCTCCTCTTTCTGCCCCACCTCCAGGACTTTTCAGGTTCTAAAGAATAGTCACGTACTGGACTTGTTTTAAAATGGAAAAAAGGAGTTGCTGACACATGGAAAATGATGGATAACATTGAATTAATTGTAATAAATAAATGGAAAAAGTGGGGGAATACAATGAATTTGTGCATTTGTGGGTTACAGATGTGGAAAGGTCGGAGCACAAGACAGAAGATGTAGCTTTTATTTTTCTTGACTCTCATAATCCCTAGATAAAATACAGATTCAGATTGCCTTTATTGTCATTCAACGTGATCAAGGAAATTTGTATTGCTACGCCCCATGGAACAACATAAAACAACATGAAAACATGTAATGACACAGAATATATACAATAAATACAGTAAGGATAAATGTAACAGGAGGTGACCAAAGTGCGGAGTGCATGATTGCAGTGTCTGTAGTCTAGTCTTTTTCAGTCTAACGATTCATCATTAAGCCTTTTAATTCATTGCTTAAAATGAATCAAACCAATTAATTCATTAAAATGAGCAAGTGAATCCTGTCATGTATTCACCATTCAGCGAACCGCAGATTGAATTTCTTCTTTCGAGCTGATAGACAGATTATCAAAGAGAGGAGTGTAATTAATAAGACTATACAGTTCAGCAAGACTGATTTTCAAGTCCACACTGTAAGAAAAGCAGCAGCAACATGATCCTCACTCTGAGAATTAAGTGCCATCAGTTATAATGTGTCTATTTCTCCCCACCTCCTGATGAAATAATCATTTTCATTAAAAGCTCATCATGATCTCATCTCCAGCCGTCTTAAAGATTCTCAGCAGCTGTCAAAGTCACTCGCTCTTTCTCAAGTGGGGGAAAAAAAATATTTGGAGAAAGTCTGGACTGTGGGGGTTTCCATGAGATTATGTCAACTTGTCTTCCAATTTGTAATAAATGGGGAGTCATGACACATTAAAATAGTATGTGGTTTTTTAGCATCAGGCAAAAGAACTTACTGTACATGTAGACATTTGAAGTAGATTTTGTGATTGTCTCTACTAGTTAAATGTTCACAGACAGGACCAACCGTGAACTCCTCACCTGACAAGGCCTGACACACATTTTGTGACAGCACGCCATTTTAGATTTATTCAGTGTGGCGAGTTGCATTATCAGATGCATCGCTTTATGGTGCTGCAAAAACAAGGTCATTTTCCTCTGCCAATTGCTCTCCTGGTGTGGTCTGTGGGGCAGAACGTTACCTCAGTGTTTCTACAGTCGCAGCCTCCTGCTGAGGGCCGGGCTCCTGGTGGCAGCTGGTCAGGATCCTGCTGAGCTTCACATCCCACACACACACACACACACACACTGCAGTAGAAGACTCCTGAGGACCTCTGAACAGCAGGCCATCCTTCACAGCAGACATCAGCATTGTAGAGACGGACAGTAAAAGAAACATTGAGCTGCAGCAGGTGTGTGTGTGTGTGTCTCAGACAATGTTGTATCAAAAGTGACTCAATGTTCCACGGAACAATTAGACTCATTCAACTTGTGGCAGGTTGCTGATATTTAGAAGGGTCATTTTAAAGGTTTGTTGTCAGTTATTAACTTTAGTGATAATTCAGATATAAAGTGTGCAAGTCAGAAGACAGTGACTATCAGCGTTATGCATCAATCCCCCCTTCATTTAATTTGGTCAAATACAATTTATACACTCACAACTACAAATTTATATGACAATTCATTTGATTTAAATCTCCCACACACCTAGGGCAGGGCAATAAAACTGAATTTATATATTAAAATGTCCAATATACTGATGACATTTGTATATATGCATGGTGGAAGCACAGTGACGAGAAATAATACATTGATCTACCTCAGATTTGTAAAATATTTTGCTGTTTGTCAACTGTTTGTCATCCTCTGCTCATAAAGAGGTGATTAAAACCACAACCTTCACTCTGGAGCAACAATCAGACTTTAAATGTCTTGATAATTACTGAACTTGACTGACATAATAATTAATCATATTGCTCAGCCCTAATCACAACTATCAAAAAGCTAAAAACAAATGCTTTAGCATCATTTTATCGTGTGTGACTGGAATGAGCAGCTTTAAGTCAAGAAAAGCACCTTGATTCAGGCTGTAGTGTCACAGCAGTGCTTAGTTAAAGGATAACCCCAGTGTATTAAATTGTTTAAAATTACAAGACAATGTGCTCATGTTAAGTAGATAGTTGTGTTACGTTTTCAATGTTCAACCTCTTAGCATAGGCTAAATATGTTTGTACATATAGACTACATTAACACATTAGATTACATTGACTATATGATATAGTCCTGAACTTCAGTAAAAATTGACCTGGTAATGGTAGTAAGCAAAATGCTGTGGGAACACCAACAGACAGACATCACCAGCCGTAGAGTCTAGCTGTGAGCATGCACACAGGAAATTATCCCCAAAGTTTTGTGTATGCAGCGAGTGGTCTTGAATTTAAGCTGATCTTTGGATCATCGAAGTCTTTTTAGGTCACAACAAGGTAACAAACTGCTCCTCCCCCCCGCCCCACCCCTGTTAACATGAGTCAGCAGCTGATTCACACAGGAGGGTCTCTCATGTCACAAAGAGAGACCGTTCTTTAGACCCCAACATGATGTTTTAGTGAAATTAGCCATAATACTGTACTTGATATATACATGTGAAATCAGTACAGCAGGCCAGTGTGTGTGTTCTTGTACAGCTATCTTTGTAAGGACCACGTGGACATTTTGGCAAAGTGAGGACATTTGACCAGTCCTCACTTCCGACCCGCCTTTAATGAACTGTTTGGGGTTAAGACTTGGTTTGAGAGTTAAGGTTAGAATTAGGTTAGGGTTAGGCATTTAGTTTGGATGGTTAAGGTTAGGGTAAGGGGCTAGGGAATGCATAATGCAAATAAGTGTCCTCACTAAGAGAGAAGTACAAATTTGTGTGTGTGTGTGTGTGGCCCAGGTATTATTGATGTTGTGGGGACATAATGTGCCTGTGTAAACTTGTCATGTCTCATCCTTATAGGGTCAAAAAGCAATTCCTCATATAAATCATAAGGTCAAGGTTACACTTAAGGTTAAGGTTAGGGAAATAAGTAATGGTTGGGGTCAGAGTAAGCCCCCAGGAATCAATGTAATTCAATGTCATCAGTGTGTGTGTGTGCGTGTGTGTGTGTGTGCATCATGGACATCTACCCTCCTCTGCAGATCGCTGTTGCTCTCACACAGAGGCATGTTTGAAGTTGCTAAAAGTTTTCACTTATAGCCACATGTCAGTTTGTCACTTCATTTAGCTCGCAGTAGTGGATTTGTCTCACTTTATTTAGACCAAAGGCTGCTTTGTATCATCTAACTGGGGGCTAAAAACATGGCTTCAGAAAGAGCTTATTGTTGGGAGATTTTCCACTCACAACCCTAAAAAACCCTGCAGCTTAAAGCAGCATTTTGTCTGGTGTACTCAGTTTGAGGAAAAACAGTTATGTGTATGTGTGTGAGAGAGAGAGAGAACTGTATGAAGGAATTTGACGAAGGGAGCGAGGATGTAAGATTTAAGCACAGAGCCCATCATTGTTTTCATTTCAGCAGAGAGAGCAGCGTGCAACTGAGGGAATAAAGACAGGACGTTAATGATGGTGTCATGTGCCCTATCAGTCACGGCTGTGGAGTTCATTACATCTGGCATTTTTACATCTGGGACAGATGTGGTGATATAAGAGATCCTGATTGACAAAAGAAAGTCTCATGCTTGTGCCCATTTGCTCCAGTTGTTTACTTAAAAACCCCAAAACAACAAGCTGAGGGGCGGGAGCAGACAGGAAAAGTGAGATCAAAACTATCGAGCCATTCTCAAGTCCAGAGTTAGAGTCTAGAGATCTTCTGTGTGTGAAAGAGGCTCTATCGGATCACTCCCCCGTGCGTAAGAGGGGCTGAAGTGAAGCCAAGGGAGAGGGGAAGGGCCTGACATCAGCAAGCAAAACAGCTGCCCCCTTCTCCCCCATGGAGAGACAGCAAGGGGAGACTGATGGAGCACGAGAGAGAGAGGGGAAGACTAGAGGGTCTGTAAGTGCGAAGCAGGAGAGAGCGGCGTGCAAGACATTTGAGGGTCTGTAGAGGCTGGAGAGGAGGGAAGGAGGTATTGGCGAGGGTGAAAGAGGGGAGGTGGGGAGTGTGTGCTTGCATGTTTTCAGAGTGAGGAAAGCTGGAGAGCAAAGGGACAGGGGGAGAGTGTAAGAGGAGAGGGTGCGTGAAGAGGTGAGGGTCTGTGCTTGGTTTCTTGTCTTGGTGGTGTGGTGCGGGGGGGTTATCTGGGGTGGATTTCAAGGCAGGACAAGCTGTCAGAGAGAAGTGCAGGGGGTGGTGGTGAGGAGTCACTGGGGGAAGAAGGGAACATGCTGGAGAAGACATTGACAACATAAGGGGACCCTTCACGACATGGAGTGTTGAGAGGGATCGGAGGAGAGGAGCGACCTTCTGGGACGAAAAGCACTTGTCTGGAATGAGCAGATAAGAGCTGAGAAAATCAAGGATACAAGGTTGAAAAAGGAAATAGGTGTCTGCTGGAAGTATGGGGTGCATTCACAGCAGCACGGGCACCGGCCAGATGAAGACACATGGGCTTGGTAGTGAAACAGGAGGAATCCCCATGACAGTAGAGCCTGAGGTACATCCTGAAATCCTTCATCTGGCTGAGGTGAGTGAATGCTTTCTGGTCTACTATAAACATGCTGGTTTACACAGAAGTCACATGCCGCTCATGATCATAATCCAATATAGCTTTTACATTTGGGAGCTAAAAGTTTGTCTTTGACTCCTGAACTTTACCATTTCGTTGTGTTCATTTTTGTTTCATTGTTGACTGCAGCAGTACAATGACAATTAAGAATATTCAAACTTGGAAAAATTTGATTTTAACCACATCTATGTTTGGACGTATTTGACTCAAGAGGAGGAGCTGGACTTTGTTTAATTATCAGATGCGACACTCATCATATACGAGTCATGGAGGTCAACCAAAAGAATCCCAAAAATTACCAAATTAGATCCAAAGCGGTTCTGTCTCAAATATTTTCTCTGTGTTTTAAAACAGAAGCATCTCATGCTCGCATACCGAAGTACGAGCGTGTTTTGTGGGTCCCTTTCG